TGGTTCACGCACTCCTGCCTGCATCGGCGTCAAGAAAAGCAACAGGAATGACAGCGGGGTTCCTGACGGTGGTGTGCCCCGTTACATTCATTGCATCAAAGAAGCAACTTACGCAGGTCGCACAGTCACCATCAGCGAAGACAGGTACGAGCCATTGTAGTGATGGTGACATCTGTGCGATCGGCGATGACGGTCAGAGCATGACTAAGCACTCTGTGGAATGCCGTGCAATTAGCGGGATGGACCATACCGTAGTGGACGTGTCGTCAGGGAAGTGTAGCGACGCATTTGGAAGCCAGATGGTCGACAGCAATGAGGCATTACTGGAGGCGGTGAATCGGGTGCGTGATGTGCTGCAGAGGTGTCAGGGAACACACAATTCTCCGGACACCATATCGTCGTTGCAGTCACCGCCCCTGACGCCATTTTTAGCTCATCAAGAGAAGGAAATGGAGGGCCGCGAGGAAATGCTGACGGCCATTGCAGCACTGCTTGAGAAGGATACGGCGTTTGGTCCGCGTTTTCTCTCGTCGTTGTCCGGTGATGCCCTCCGGTCATTGCTTGTCATTGGAACCACTCAAGAGTATTTTGGCCAAGACGCTGTGGAGGCGCAGCTGCGGGCCGTTGATAAGGACCAGGATGACAACATCTCCTCGCAGGACTATGACGCGTGGGTAAACACGGCGGTGCGGGAGCGTGTCGCCATGCGTTTTGAGCTTCCTCGCGCCACAGCGCATGTGCAAGACACCACCACATCAAAGGCATCTATTTCACCCAACACGACGGTTGCTGCGGCTGGTTACATTCCATGGGGCTTGTGGCACCGCATTGCGTTGTCGTCTGCCGTTCCTTTCATGGCGTTTGGTATGCTTGACAACACCATTTTTATTACGGCTGGGGATGCCATCGACAAGAGATTTGCGGAAGCCTTTGGGATGTCGACAATGGCTGCTGCGGCGCTCGGTGGTGTTGTGTCAGGGACGGCTGGTATCCAAATGCACGGTCTTGCCGAGCGTATGGCGCAAAGGTCGCGTCTGGCACGGCCGCCGACTCTTACACCCTCGCAAAGCGCTTCTGCATCAAATGGGAGCGCCACTCGGGTGGGTAGCACTCTCGGCATGATTTTAGGTCTTCTATTTGGCATGACACCGCTTTTGCTGTTGTCTGTACCTGTTTCCCGGAGTGAGAGGGAACAACCTGCTAAAGGGTAAGGGCGTCACACGTCTTTTCGTGGAGAAGAAATGTGTGTGTGTGTGTGTGTGTGTGTCTTTGGTTTAACAAAGGACGGCGAAAACAAAAATAAAGCACATGCGTGCAAATATTTTTTGCAAGAAAGAATGAAAGAAAGAGAGGGGGAGAGAGAGACAAATAAAGCGGCTTCTTTTTCTTTTTCTTCCTCACACGTGTGATACAGATTGGCCTCCTGCAAATAGACAAGTGCATGGAGTGTCATTTTCTACTTTGTTTGAAATAAAACAATTTTTTTTTTTTTTTTTTTTTTTGCTTTTCATGTTGTTTTCCTTTCCTTTTTTTTCCCTTTTATGACCGCGGCTGCACGTGTCTCTCATTTGCCCTCTTCTTTTCTCTTTTTACATGAAACACCCGCCTTTCTCTTTCTGGTGCCTCACACACACACACACACGCGAGGAACAAATGAAAGTTGTGGCAATGGGAGGAAAACAGGAATGAAAGGAGGGACAAAAAAAAAAAAAAAAGGAAAACTCGTCGTGCGGAGTCGTTACTACACGAAATGGAGGAAGTGGAGACGAGGGGAATCATGTGATGTTGACATTTTCTAGCAGCTTTTCCTTCTCGTCATTCTGGCTTGCGTCCCTTTTTTTTTTTACTTTTCTTTTTTTTTTTTCCCCCCCCTCCACCGGCCTTTTCTTTACACTCTCCGGTTGAAGGAAAGGAAAGGAATAAACAACAAAATGACGGAGAGCGCATACCTCAAGAGCAGCGTGGGGCCGGTGCTTGCAAAGGCGGTGGCCGAGACCGTCCTCGCGCAGCCCAGCAACCCACAGGAGTACCTTGCGCTGTATCTTCTGCATGTGCTGCAGGAGGAGGAACGCCGCGGTGCCGACGCCGAGCGCAAGAAAAAGGCAGAAATACAACGACAAATGTGGGCAAGCGAACGAGCACTGCGTGAAAAGCGTGCTGCTGACACCATTCAGCGATTCTATCGTCAGTGCAGGCGTAAATTGCAGTTGCGGCGAGAGGAAGAGGAGGCGCTATGGTCCAAATATGAAGAGGCCGAGGGTGAGGCGGAGGAACTCCTAGATGAAGAAGAGACAGCCGCCGCTGCTGGTAAATCGACGGATGAGGTAGACAAAATGGATGACAAAGATGGCGCCGCCGCGGCTGGAGGAGTTGACGGCAATAATGAGGAGGAGATGATTGAAGACGCCGCAAGCGCCGTGGAAGAAGCACGTCGAGACTTCTACAAGGCACAGCGCTTTATGTTACACATACGCAAGGCGCTGATTGGTGCGTTGAAGAAGGAGCTTACGGATCAGCGGGAGCAGATACGAGTGGGACAGGACCGCATGTATGATCTTCTTGACCTGGCTGAAGTCGAGCGACGGGAGAAGGAGGAGGCGGAGTTCGTTGCCGCCGTTACTGCAGGAGCCATTCCAAGTTCGGCTGCGATTACTGAGCTTGTAAAGAAAAGTGAGATACCTCGTCATGAAGGTATTTCTACCTCCATGATTTTGTACCGTGTTATGCGATGTTGGTGCTATCTTTTTTTTGACAGCACCCCTAAGCAGACGGATACACCAGCAAAGGTCGCAGCGCTTGTGAAGCCCTTCACATTTATGCAACTTCTCCGGGCTTTTAACCCCGTCGCATCGTATCAGCGTAATCGGCCGCTGCGGATAGGTCTTGAGGGTAAGCATGAGGAGGGGGAAGGCGATGCGGATGACATGTTGCAGGATGGTGGTGACGAGCCACTGCCGCAACCAAAACCGCGTCAGGCACGTCGAGTGAGCCGTGTGTTGCGTGTGCTGATGCATGATGCTGAGTATGTGTGTGCGGTAAATCCTGCCGACTATCTGGATGAAGAAGAAGAAGAGGGTGCTGCAAAGAACTCGACGGCATCAGAACGCGGAGCGGCATTGGCCACCCTTGTGGAGACTGCAGCGAAGAAGCACAGCGTCATGCTTTACGCCCTGCTAAGAATGCTACGCACCGCCAGCGCTTACCGGGACGCGCGTGATCGCTGGGTTTCGCTGCTTCAGCAGAACGGCCAGGACGCACCTCCCAATGAGGAGATGCCAGAAGATGATGACGCGGATTCAAAGAACGAAGAAGGACTGCGGGATGATGACGGTGAGGTTGACGAGGCTGCCGTCCGGCGTCTGTTGCTCGTAATTGGCACGGACACAGACGAGGCACTTGCAAAATTGTGGGCCGACCAAGACGAAATGCAGCGCAAGAAGTGGCAGGCAATGGCTGCAGCGAGACGCGGCGAAGAGGAAGAAGAAGTTGCCACGAACGACGAGGGTGACGATGATGCAGGGGATGATTAGTGACACTTACACACTAATGCAGAGAGAGCGGGATATATTCACTTGACCTATTTCTCTGCCCTGTTGATGGATTTTGCCGAAACCCACGTAGTTTACACTCCATGCACCTGATGTACATACATATCCGTATATATATATATAGTGGCGGAATTCGGAGAAAAAAGAGAAAAAAAAAAGAAAGGAAAATGGCTGTTTGTGGCGGCAGAAGCTGAGCGTACATGAGAGGGTGAGAGCAAAGCAACTGCAAGCAAGTAGGTAAAGAAAAGAAAGCAGTCAATGTACAAAGAAGAAGGATGGAACAACAAGAACAAAAAAAAAAGAGGTGTAGGAGAATTATAAATAGAAATAGAAAGAGAGGGAAAAGAAAGTTTTGAGATGGAGTGATGATGCATATAGGAGAGGCACTTCTGTCCTTTCTGTTCCTTATTTGTTTGTGGCCAGCAGTATTGGGGGAGTGCGGGATGCGTACACGTGGCAGTTCAATGGCTGCTCCCGCTCAATTTGTTTTTTTTTTCTATCACCTCTTTTCCCCTATCCTTCGATTTCTTTTTTTTTTTTCTTGTTTTACGCCTGACTGCTTAAGCACTGTTTTTTCTTGTGGATGTTTGCATGCTCGCAATGTAGCATGTGCCCGCCAGCGACCCCTTTCCGAAAGCGTGAGCGGCAACGCAAGGGGGCATGCAATAATGGGCTCACCTGCGATGTGTGTGTTTCTGTCTGTGTGTATGGCTCGCATGCATCAAGAGCTTTGGGTTGCATTCTGTTGCCTTATTGCCTTTCTTTTTTTTTTTTTTGCCTTTTTTTTCTGCCTTTTATGCTGCGGTGAGTCGGTGATTCTTTGGAATCTGTAGGGGAATTCTGTGCGCCGACCAAATTCCTGCCGTCGCTGGCGGGAGGGGAAGAGAGGGAGTGAAACGACAAGAACAGTTCCGTCGTCTCTCCATCTCCTTTGGTCTCTGATGCTACGGCGATGGCTTTTGATGCCATTGACCGCGGGATTGCCTGCAACTCTCCTTAGCAGCAGTGACAGTGTCAGTAGAGGTTCTTGTGTACGTTGTGTGGGCAGCTGGCAGCAAAGTGCAAAACAAAGCCGCCGCTTCTCAAAGGAGGCAATGATGGAGGGCCGCAAGCGACACCATTGGCAGAAGGAAGTGGCGGCGCTGCGGCAGCACATCAACGAAGAGCATGGCCTACAGCAGCGACAACGTGCACAACTGAGGCAGAGGTGCGACCGCGCCGCGACGGCCTTGATTCATGGTGCATCACGAGGCTCATCCGCCTCAGCAGCGAATGCCTTGGCGACCGCGCGACATCTTCTTACGCTACAGGAGGCAACACGCAAGGCGATGAAAAGTGAAAAGAGTAGACGAAAAGCGATGTTTGTTAGCGGCAAGAAGTGGCGTGGGTGAGAGCGGGGTGAAGGAGAGAGGCGTCAGGAAGTGGAGCACAGAAAAGGGAGAGGGCGGGAGAATGGAATTCTGTGCGTATGTATGTGTGCGTTTTCCTGTCTGTTTCTGCGTCGTTCTTGGCTGTTTTTTTTATCTTTTTTCCCTTTTTGTTTTTTCCCTTTCCCTTTCTTGTGTCATTGACACAGTTTCTTTAGGGAACACGAAGGAAAAAAAAGGGGGGAGGAGGGAAAATTTGATGCGGTTTTCACCCCTCACCGCATGCTTCTATTCGGGGGCCCGACGACAGACACCGCTGCAGTCCTGGTGCCGGTACCACGGGCAGGATGCATGCAGACAACAGCGTTTTTACACGCTCGGTGAGTATTTGCAGCGGCTTCCGCGTGGTATTCGTGATTTGTTATTATGGTCACCGGCCATCGCGGCGGCTTATTTCATGCTGTACAAACAGGCTGTGTACTTTCTTCCGTCCATGGGACGTCAGCTGTTAAGACGCCCAATCACTCCCGCCACCGAGCCCAGCAACCGGAGTACGGATAAGGCGCAGGGGAGCGGTGAACTGCGGGCCGTGAAGGTCCGCATGGACGATGCGTGTGGGAGTGTCGTGGATGGGTTGCTTCTCCCACTGGTGGACCGCGAGGAGGAGGCGGCCGTTGCATCGTCATCATTATCCCCGCCCATTCCGCCGTTTTCTACGGGGGCCATGATGGATGCAATGCCGCTTCGGGCTGTACGCGACGTGGATACGGGCAAAGTCTCTGGCTACACACGGCTGTAGGAGCGGGCAGGGCAGTCAAGAGGGACAGCCCCACTGCCACTGCAAGAGGGAACAGAAGGACGAGGAAGACGGACTCCTTCTTTATTTCTTGTGCTTCACGCATCATCACAACTGACTTATTTTTGCTGTTGTCTCTTTGGCGTCATGTTTTTTTTTTCCTAACGCCGGTGGAGCTCCCTGTTTTTGTTGTTGTTGAGGATCATTTTGGTGGTAGGGCGTACAACTTTTATTTGTAACTTATGTGTGTGCGTACGCATGCAGTTTTCATTTATGAGTTGTGTTGGTAGGAAATTCTCTCTTTTTTTTTTTTCTTTTTTCCTTTATTTCTTTCCGCATTTTTTTTTCTCAAGGCGGTGTGAGTGCTTGTGTGCGTTTTCTTGAGGTGTATACACATCCACCCCATCGACAGCTTTGGTGAGTGGTTGAGTCTGCAAAGAGGGAAGGAGTTGGATTAACAAAGGGAAGAGGCGCCACACAAGTCAAAATTAGGGGGCTTCACGCAAAGAGGGCCGTTAGCAGAAAGCCACACCGTTACAATTATATACATCTATATATACAGGAAGGATTAGATAGGAGGTTCTGTTACCGCTGTTATTCCTGCCACTGGTGGTGTTTTTTTTTGTTGTTGTTGAGACAGTGAAGCAAGAAGGAGAGGGGTGAAGACAAAATGAATGCTCTGGATGAGTTGAACCTTCGGCTTGGCATCGGGCCAACGCGACCGCATCTTCCCATCACACTGCAGCGGTCTGGATACAGCGCTGTGCGGAAACTTGGCAAAGGCAGTTTTGGCAATGCGTATCTTGTTTATCACGCCGGTCGCAAGCAGCAGTATGTCGTGAAGCATGTAAACATGGCAAGCATGACCGCACGGCAGCGCAGGGATGCCCACCAGGAGATTGTGGTGCTGCAGCAACTGGAGTACCCGAACATAATCCGTTACGTGGAGTTCTGCGAGGAGCACCCGCATCTTTACATTGTGATGGAATACGCTGACGGAGGAGATGTTTACACGCACCTCAAAAATCTCAAAAGCAGCGTTTGGGCTCTCGGCGGTGGCAGTGGTGGAGTTGGAGACGGTGTCAGCAGTACCGGCGGCCTTACGGAGGAGCAGGTGATAAGCCTCTTTGTGCAGACAACGATGGCAGTCAAATACATGCATGACCGGCGTTTACTGCACCGGGACATTAAATCACAAAACGTCTTTTTGACGCAAAACCACGTTGTGAAGTTGGGGGACTTTGGCATCAGCACCGTATTAATGAGTACCGTTGCGATGGCACAGACAATGTGCGGCACGCCGTGCTACTTCTCCCCGGAACTCTGTCAGGGCAAACCGTACAACAACAAATCCGACGTCTGGGCACTTGGGGTGCTGCTGTACGAACTTTGCACGACCGGCCGACTACCGTTCGAGGCCACAACGATGAATCGACTGATGGGTGAGATTTGCAAAAAAGAACCACGTCGTATCCCTTCCAGATTCTCCGATGAGCTCTGGAATCTCATCCTGTGGATGCTTAAAAAAGACCCGCGGCAACGCCCCGATGCGGGGCAGATCCTTCGTTCCCCCGTGCTACTAAGATATATCCCGAATATTATCAAGAAGCTCAGTGCCACCGACGGACACCCTGAGGATGAATTTAGACGTGTGCTTACAGGAGATGCAACGCCACCAACGCCGATACGTCCCGCCATGGACCTGCAGCTGAAACAACTCGGAAAGGAGACGGCTAGGGACGGGCCGGCACCTTCTACGGGTGCCATCCCAGTTGCCTCGGCTGCTGCTGCTGCTGCTGCTGCTGCTGCCGCAGCTGCTGGGCGCCAGGGCTTTGCACAGAAACGCCACGATCAGTACCCATTCAAGCGTGTTAATGATGACAATGCGATTAAAGACCGTGTCGGTGGCATATTAGGTATGTTGGCACAGCAGCGGCAGCAAATACAGAAAATGAAGGAAGAGGAGGAGGCGATGAAGAGGGCGCCGCCTGCGAACCAGCCGCCCCTTGCTGAGCCCTTGAATTACGTCCCTGTCTTACTGCAGAGGAACCAAAAGCTCACCAAAAATGGGGAAAAAGTAGATGTCAATAGCAAATTCAACAAGAACGACAACTGTAACAGGAACGATAATGACGCGGGCGGCAATACTCCTAAGAAGGAGAAGAATATCTTTGCACGAACCCCTCTTCGTCCTCCGAAGAACGTGGACGGCGGAAACCTAAAGAGGGAGAATGGCGTCCCACACGTCGACGCCAGCAAGGAGCAGGAGCAGCGGAAGAAAGCGATCAATCATCTGCCCCTGCAGGATCTTTTTCTCCTTTATGATGAAAGCAAAAAACGCATTCTTAATGAAAAGGAGCAGCGACTTGGCCCGGCCCGGCAACCGATGAATTACCAACCCGCTGTTGCGGCTCCTGCCCGAATGCGGCCTGCCGTTGTCGAACTCCAGGTGGGGGGTGAGACGAAAAAACGGCCACTCTCACCTGTGCTGCCGAATCATCCAATTCACGGTAGCACCAAGGCATTTCCGTATGGAACTCCTTCAATGGCAGAGGAGAAATCCATTCCGATCCCTCCCATTGCTCTCCCGACTGGGGCAAAGTCTTCAGCGTTGACGAGTTTGGAGATGTTGGACCATGATAAAAATACAAAGGACGATGGTAATCGCGCTAGTGGGAAAATTCCTGCCAAAAATGAACCCACAGGCGATCTTGCACTTGTTTTGAAGGAAATGACAAATCATCTTGAGTCTATGCGTAGCAGTGCGGCTCGAGCAGAGAGCAATACTGAAGCTGAAGGTCCAAAAGGGACACCGGGCACGAATTCTTTATCTGCTGTCTCGGCTTTCTTTGGGGTGGATGCCGTCGGAAACTCTCCTTTTCCCGCATCGGAAATGAATGTTGACCAAGTTGGAGAGGAGTTTTCAGACGCAATGGGGACGACGCTTAACGTCCAAGAATTACAGCGGCAGCGGAGCGCTTCCTCCTTTTCCCATGAAGAGGTCAATGACGGTGCGGCAGGTGAGTTTCTCCCGCTGTGCATTTCGCGTTACAACGGGGTATGGAGTTCTCGTGGTAGCCGGGTGGCGCCAGCAGGAATGACGGCTACTCCGGGTACAGCCAAAGAGACAAGTGAGGGAAGGGAAACACAGCCGTTTAATGATATCCAACCATCGAAACCGGGGATATCATTTCCCGCCCTTAATACGGGTCCTAATGCCGTCTCGCCGCAGTTGGTGGAAGCAGTGGCAGCGGCGCAGGAGAACGAAGGGGGTGGTGGAGCCTCATTATTTACTGGTGGATGTCTTTGCGACGGCGTTCACTTCACCGGCCTGGCCTCCGCTATCTTTGGGAGTTTTGTATGCAACTGTTTTGTATGCTCAAGGTGCTCTGGGGCGTTGATGGGGGTGGAGTGGCTGCATCTACCGGATGTGCCATTTGAGGACCTTTTCGCGGATGGATTCCCATCGGAAGCAGCATCTCCGTCTACGCTTCCTAAAATGCCCATAGCGAGCCCAGTGGATGAGACTTCTGCGGGGTCCGGCGTGTCTGCTGAACAATCAGCCTTAAAGGCTGACCCATCATCCGCTCTGAGGGACGGCGCGAGGAAAGCTAGCAATGCGGAAATTGTTGAAGAAGAAGAAGAACGAAGGGACAAGGAAGAATTTGTGAGACTCCCAGAACTGCTAAAAAAGTTTGTTGTACAGGTACCAGTCGTAAATGAGGATGGAGTCGAAACGCTGGGGGAGTACACGGTGTACTTCTGTGGCCGCTGCGGCTCCACCGTTGGAATGAATCATGATGATGTTGCTGGTGGCCTTGTTGCCAAGGCGATGCTCTCAGAAGCAAGTTTGGGCATGCTGGAGTTATTCCAAAAGACAATGCCGCTCCATAATAGTGAGGCACTTACCCCAAGAAAAATTAGGTGACCATGTTTATATATATATATATATATATAGCCACAGGTTTCTTCCGGATTCCGTTTTTTTTTTTTTTTTTTAAAGAAGGAATTTTGCTGAGTAGGTGGGAATCTGGGTGGATACGATGTTTTTATATCTTTTTCCTTTTGTTTATTTCTATTCTTTTCTTTTTTTTCTCTTTGTTATTTGCCGTTTTTCGTTGTTTTTTTTTTTTTTTCCCACAGCCTCCTTGTGTGTGTGTGTGTGTGTTTTAGTGCGTGTATATATGGTGCTATCCTGGCGTAGTTCTGTGCTCTTTTCTTTTGCTTTTGGGACGCCGGCACTGTTGTAAAGATGTGTTCTGCATGTATGAAACGCCTTTCAGTCACTTCACCCTTCTTTCTATTTCTTTTTTTTTTTTTTTTTTTTTTTGTAAAATAATCCTGGAGGAGGGAGAGAGGGAGGCGGCTGTCACTGCGTGTTTGCGGGGAATATCTGAATTGATGTGTACAGGTGTGAAAAGAATAAGGAGATGTTGGGAGAACACCACCAACAACTGCGGGAGTGGGACGTCACCTGTTTCTTTGGCTGCCCTTCGTTTTTTGTGAAGTCTGTGTATATGAGGGGGTGCGAGTACCGTTTGGTTATTTCTTTTCCATGTGTGCGTTTGTGCGTGTGCGTATGTTTTCCTTTACTTTTTACTGCTAGCGGAGTGCGAAGGGGCACAATTAAGGGAAGGAAGGAAAGAAATAAACGCGGAAGCGGAATAAAATTCATGTCGCTGCCTTCCTTGTTATCGTCTGCGGCATCTTTATCGCGGATGCGGGTTGTACAACGGGGGTTTCTCACACGTCGCGGGGGACGTCATTTGACACGGGCTGCTGTCGCCGTGGAGTACCGCCCAGCGCAGCAGAAGAGAATTAGCGACGGCAGTTACGGACGTGTGATTGACGCCGAGGTCTTGCACGGCGATGAGCAGCAATTCTGGGGCGAGCGGCGCAATTACTACTGCAAACGTGCGCCGTACTTTCCCACATGGGATCGGCTTGCGCAGACGCTGATTCTCATGACACGGCAAGTACCGCGTGTGCCGCAGGAAATGGCGTTTCGTCTTATGGCAGTCTTTTTGAAGCTGATGCTGCTGCCGCGACTCGTGATGAACGCGGAGTTGATGCTACCATCATGGGTCGCAACCAACGCGGAGGGTGTCATCACGCAGGCTGTGGGGGACGAAGAGGACGCGAGAAAGAAAAAGAAGGAGAGTGAGGACACGGCGGGGGAAAAGAAAGAGGAGCCCACGAAGCGGTGATGCCTAGGAGGGGTGTGTGTGTGTGTGTTTTTTAGTGGGTCGCTCTTGTTGTTTCTCACACGTGTTTTTCTTGCGTTTTTGTGTGTTCTGTATTGTTCTCTTCTTCGATGCCGCTGCCATTTCGTCGTCCTTTCGCAATTCACTCATTGGCATGAGATGGAAATTTCTCTTGTACTCTTTTGTTATTGTTGTTGTTTCTGTTTTTTAAATGTAAATAGCGTGGAATGGCGGCGGAGTACATTCAGCTAGTCGGTACAGATGTGCCTGGTAGTTACGGCAGCTGCTGCTTCAGTGGCCAGGTGCAACACGAGGCGCTGCGCTGTCCCACGCAGCCATTGGCACTTTCTTCTCCATCACCGACACCGTCAACGGGGGTGGCCACGGCAGCGAACGGCGATGGCCAGCTTTTGTTTTTCAACTGCCCAGAGGGTACGCAGCGTTTCAGCTCCGAGGCGAATATGCGGCTGGTGCGCACGCGCGGCTTCTTCTTTACTCGATGGGCCGTCTCGGCGGTGATGGGCATGCCAGGCCTCCTTTTCACAATCAATGATGCCGGTGTTCGGCATGCCAACTTCTTTGGCCCAAGCAGTCATTCCCTAACTGTGGAGGGCGGTGATGGGGCCCAGACGCAGCAACCACCGTTTTCTGCAGGGCTGGAGGGCATGCTGGGGGCATTGCGACTGCACTACTTTTGGTACAGGACGATGAGTTTCCAGCAGCTTCGCGTGGGGGCCGTGCTGCGCCAGTTGCCAACTGCATTGCCGTGGAACTACGTGTGCGAGGTGCCACTGCACCCCTTGGAAGAAGGAGAGGGAGGAACTTCTGCTGATCCACATGACATGTCATCATCGTCATCTTCTGCATCATCCTTCTTTGTTTTGGCGTTGCTACTGAGCTCAACGAGCGCCCTCCTGGGCTTCCGCGTCTCGCGCAAGGCGTCAACACCATCTGAAGAGACGTACGGCTACGCCATTCTGCACGCACCCAAGGCGTGTTTTGATCCGAAACGTGCAAAGGCGTTCGGTGTACCGCCGGGGCCCATGTACGGTCAGCTTAAACAAGGCAATGGTGTTTGGATAGACGACGAACAGAGTCCTCCTTGTGTGTCACATTCCGCAGAGAAGTCACGCCGTTTCATTCATCCACGCAGCGTGAAACAGGCGACGGTGGGTAGTCGATGCATGTACGTCTCACTCGTGCTCGACGGGGATGACAGCGGGGAGGTTGCGGAGGCGTTGGAGTCGCTCTTTGGTCGTGACGCATCGTACCGCGGGGATCAGCAGGAGGAGGGAGTGAATGCTGACGCGGAAAGCGAGAGGCTACGAGGTGGTGAGCTTCGCCGGTTTCTCGTGCAGTGGCAGCCCTTCCTGTTGTTTTGTGATGACGACCACGCCGCGTCGGGGGAGGCGACAGTCACGGCACATCCACCGATGGAGCGGACGCTTGTGCTCAGGCATGTTGTGCATGTGCAGTGCTCCGATTTCTTTTCTTCGTTCGCGGCAGGCGCCACGGGTTCGGTCGAGGCCCATTATGTCACATCTATCTTTACACGTGTGCAGCGTGAGGTTCGGGAGCAGGCCGTTGAGTCGTTCCGCCATGACAGATATGACGGTGACTCCGTTGTCGCTACGGGAGCCAAAACTGGAACGATGCATCACTTTTGCGCCGCTGTGCAGCAGCAGTTCTCCGCTTTTCCCACCGCTCTCGCACACCGCTATCATCTCAACTGTATTGCCAATGCGCAGTTCCCCATAACACTCCCATCTGCGGGAGAAAAGGAGCATGAAAGAATGAAGGAGGACACCGGCCGAATATGGCCGTACGCCGTGAAGCATCTGTTAATTCCTCCAGAGGCTGCCGGGCACATTCCACACAACACATACAATTTGGCCATGAAGGGTCCCGCCTTTCATGTTGCGACGTTTTCTTCGTTGGTCCCTGGCAGCAAGCAACAGAAAAGGAAGGGCGGCAATTCGAAGAAGGAGGATGTGTCAGGTCTGCTGCGGTACCCGACGGCACGCTCGGCTGTGGACATGCTCTCAAAAGAATTTCGCTCTATCGCTAGTAGAGCACATGAACAAATGCAAGGTGTATTGCTGTCTCCTTCTTCTTTTTCCTCGGTTTTTCATCATTCTCATGGTGATACCCACGACAATTTCCATGGCATTTGTGGCCATAAAGACAGTGGCAATACGTGGCATCTTGACGGCGGAGGGGCCCTGACGTTTTTGGGCACAGGCTCCGCCATGCCAAGTAAGTATCGCAACGTGAGTGGAACGTACCTGGAGGTGATGTATCAGGCTCGGAGCAGCACAACTCTTTCCCGGGCTGTTGTTGTGTTGGATTTTGGTGAGGGGAATGCGGGGCAGCTGGCGATCTTTTGGGGCAATGGCTTTGCTCAGGCACTTTTTCAGTTCTTTAATGATTTGGTATTTGTGTTTATTTCTCACGCACACGCCGATCATCACCTTGGGCTGATGACGCTTCTTGAATTGCGACATCGCGTACGCTTGCAGGTGGAAAAACAGGATTCAATTGACAGCGGCAATCTGAATGAGCCTCTCCTTGTCGTATGCCCGCAGGAGGTGCATGAGTTTTTGCAGGATACATGGGGACGCTGTACGGCGTACCGGCAATGGTTAGAGGAGGAGGTCGTGTATGATGTCTTTCCGGCCGAACGACATCGGGTCGGTGGGGCTCCCGCCACATCGGTGCTTCTGCCGCGTCTCAACGCGGTGTGTGCACGTCTTGACGAAAAGACGGCAGCAACAAACCATTCAGAAAGGCATGGAGCGTCACCGACAGTGTGGGGTGCTGAAGTTTTTCCGGTGCATCACCCTGCCAATGCACACGCACTGCTCCTGCGCTTTCCCGCCCCAATGGGGGCTACGACCGCGTCTCGTGTCTTTCTCTTTTCGGGCGACACACGACCGTCCCCGCTTCTTATTGAGCGCTGTCGAAGGTTTACGAGATGGACTTGCCGTCTCCATGAGCAGCGGGAAGAAGAACCGAAAGAGGAAGGGGATGATGGTCCAGGCGTGTTTCTCTGCCTCCATGAGGCCACATTTGGCGAGGACTGCGGGGAGGAGGCGGTAGAAAAATGTCATTCCACTTTACCAGAGGCGCTGCAGGTGGCGGCGGCAATCCGTGCGGAGCATGTCGTGCTTAATCACTTCTCGCAACGGTACCCGAAGCTGCCGGGGCTCATGAAGTCGCAGCTGAACGGAAGGGACGTTGACTTGCATTGCAAGCGACGGAAACCGCGACCGCCGGATGCATTGACAGCCCTGACTGAATCGAGTCCCTTTGAAGAGGCCGTGAAGTCACTTGAAGACGTCCAGAGGGGAGACACCCCGAAAAGAAAGCCGCTGGATACCCCAAACTCCGGGGAACTGAAGATGTGCTTTGGATTTGACTTTATGCGGCTCTCCTTTGCGTCGCTGGAGAGTCAACAGACGGCACAACTGACGCCCCTTTTCGTGCAGCTGCTGGAGGAGTACGAGTCGTGGGGCGTCGGTACGACGAAACGGTTACGCGGGTAAAACGAATAAAAGGCAAGAGGGATAATTTTTGCTTCGAAGCAACGAAAGAGAGGGTGAAAAATGGCAACAGAGAGACTGTTTGTGAAAGAGAGTGAAAAAAAAAAAAAAAAAAAAGAGAGAGAGAGAGTGTGTGTGTGTTTGTGTGTGCATCTGCATGTATTTTTGCGAGCAGATTTCTGGTGTTTTTTTTTTTTCACGTTTTTCTGGTTATTTTGAATACGCCCCACCATCGCCTTTCTTTCCCGTCTTGTTACTTTCGATAAATGGTGCAAGAGGAGGAGGCCAAGACACCACGAGTGTGCAACTCCCCCGCAAAAATACATCTCTAGCGTCACTCACTCATATATACATATAAAAACAACCACATATATCGAGAGGAGAAAAGAGAACTTGTGTGTGTGTGTGTGTGTGACAGACATAGAAATTTGAGCTCTTTTTTTTTTTTTGCGGGGCGAGTAAAATTTCTCTTCTGCAGCTTCCAACGAGGACGTAAAGGTGGAGGAGGACTGTCTTTTGGGTTGTGTGCTGCGGTGAGGAATATAATGATGCTTTTGCGAGCAACAAGGCTATTGCGTGTGTCAAAACGCACCGTGGCCTCCGCTGGTGCACAGGGGGCTGTGAAGAGAGCCACCACAACTGCTGCAGCACCTGTGGCCGAGTCCACGACCTTGCGTGAGGCCCGAGCAGCGGCAGCAACAAAAGCCGCAGGGCAGCGTAAGCCCCTGCATCACAGCCGCGGCGGCAGTGGTGATAGCACCAGGCCTGTGACATCCCTTCAGGCCTCCGCACAGCTGAAAGGCGTGCGAACGATATCAAAGGCGTCCAGTTTTGTGCCAGACCACCGCGAGAAGGTTCTGCAAATATTTCAGCGTTTGGCGGAGATTAACAATGCGCTTCAGGAAAGGTACAAGGCGCAGTCGTACCAGATTGCTGTGGACAACCTAAAGAGGGATGACTTCATCTTTGTGCACCTGCCACCGAACATTCTGCCGCCCGGCGTGGATGACGCGAAGAGGACGGAGCAGCTGAACGCCGTGAGTGCGACACCGGTGGTGGGAGAGAAACTTAAAGCCAAAATTGTGGAGATTCTCTCAATGGGTGACCTCGCCGAGCTCCACAGTTTGCAGGCAAAGCCCATCATTCGCGCCATTCAGGAGCTCACGCAGGTGCATGGCGTCGGTCCCCGTACCGCAGTGACATTTTACAAGAAATACGGCATCAAATCCGTGGCCGAGCTGCAACAACGCGTGAAGGATCACGAGGCGGAGAAGGGTATTGGAGATGGGGATAGGGATGGTGGCAATTGCGGTAATAGTGGTGGTGCCAAGAAGGGTTCCAAAAAAACTTCAGCGGGGGATGAAGATCCTGTCCTGCACCTCACTGAGGCACAGCGGTTAGGGCTCAAGTACCATCGTGACATTATGCAGCGCATCCCGTACGAAGAAGTAAGACTGCACGAAGCATTTTTAAAGCTGAGACTGCGGAAGTACCTGGGAAAGGGCTATGAGCTCTCCATCTGTGGAAGCTACCGACGGCGACAGCCAACATCGGGTGACATTGATGTGCTCATTACGCGCAAGATGAACGGCAAAGGTCCCGCCATTCGCCGAACGAAGAGCAAAAAAGGCGGTCATCATCATAGTGATGAGCAGGTTCTGGCACCACAGGAGGTTCTCGCGGCCTTCGTGGAGGCCCTCAAGCGGGAGCGATACATCGAGGCGACACTGGCGCAAGGGGCGACAAAGTTTATGGGGGTAAGTCGGCTGAGGAGTTATAACTACAATGCGGGTGCGACAAGCCCAAAGTTGTACCCGGCACGGCGGCTCGATATTCGTTTTGTGGAGCCGGAGTGTTTCCCTGCGGCGCTGCTGTACTTTACTGGCAGCAAGCACTTTAACGTCGTCATGCGGGCAGAAGCGATCAAGCAGAACTTTGTTCTAAATGAATACGGCCTCTTCCACAATGATGCAGCGACCACCGTTGCTGCCGCCGCCGAGGACAATGCAGTCGATGGCAGCAGTAGTTGTAGTAGTGGTAGCAGCGGCGGCAACAGCAAGAATAAGCCTAATAATAACAATAGTAATAACGGTGGTGGGGGCAACACGGCCCGAGGCCGGTGGAATGCGGAGGCATTTCAGAAGTTGGTCCGGGCACAGTACTACTCCGCTAAGTCTCCCGCATTTATGGGTGATGACGATGGCCACGGTGAAGAGGACGACGACGGCGAAGATGGTGCTGACGGGGCTGGCGAGGATACACGTAGCAAGAAGCACGGGAAGAAGGTTTCAGCAGCACGGCAGCGGCAACAGCAACAAGAACTTGCCGCTCTCTGGCGTGAGGTGGAGTCACGGCGAGTGAAGGTGAAACACGAGCGTGACATCTTTGATGCATTAGGCATGACGTACGTTCAGCCCGAGCAACGCGAGATGTGAATTGGAGGGGCTTGCAACACGCACGTACGCACATGGCGAGGCAAATACCAAGCGAACGGAGGGCTGTGGGGCTTTTTTCCCTCCTCCACTCCATTTCATTCCATTCCATAGAAACAGCAATGAAGAAAAAAAAAAAAAAGAGCAACGGCGTCTACAGATGTCATAGAAAAACGGTGAGGGGCTGGGAGAGGGGAGGTTAAACGCACACGGGGAGAACATGCATGCACCCAGACGATTCATATGGAGCACATTTAATACTCACGGTGCGTTCTTACCGCTCTCCTTTCCTTTTCTCACCTTAGTTATTATTATTTGTTTTTTGTGTGTTGCTGTCGTCACGCTTCCACACAGTCGTTCTAACGGCCGCACACTCTTTTGAGTGTCATTTCTTTTCTTTCTGTTAATGTCTTTCATTACCCCGCTTTTTTTTTTCCGCGCATGTTTTGTCTCCCCGCTCCTTCTTTTTTTTTTTCCAGAGCAGCGAGAAGGAAGCGAAGGGTTCGTGCAGCTCCCATCCACACATTCGCGGCAAAACGATCCATCCCCTCCTCACCGAAGGACCAGCGAAGGGAAACAAACAATCAGGAAAAAACAAACAACAATAACAAGAAAGAGAATCGTAAAAATAATAACTGCGAGGCCGCGGGAAAATAGAGACGACGAATAGGGGACGAGGAGGAGACATCTACACGATACAGACATAAATACAGACAGACACACACACACACACAGAAAGAGAGAGAGAGAGAGAGAGACAACACAGCATACTGTCGTTGTTTGATACAAAAATACACATTTATTATTATTTATTTTTTTGTGGAGTTGCTTGAAACAAACACACACACACAAAAAAAAAAAAAAAAGATGTTTCGTCGCACGTTCTGGCGTTTTAATCCGGATAGTCGAGAGAACATCATCCGCATCTTTAAGGAGATGGCAGATTTGAACAATGCCCTTGGGGAAAAGTACAAGGTGCAGAGCTACATCCGCGCCTTGAATAGCCTCAAGACGAACCTCGACCTGCCGTTGCGGACGGTGGAGGACCTGGAAAGGTTTCCCGGTTTTGGCTCCAAGCTGCTGAAGAAGGCGGAGGAGATCATCATGACGGGCAAGCTGGAGGAACTTGAGAAGAAGACAAAACCGAAACTCAAGGCGATTCAGGAGCTTACACAAGTGCATGGCTTCGGTCCACGCGCAGCAGCTGCACTCTTTGATCGAGAGGGCATATTTACCGTGGAGGAACTCATAGAGAAGGCCGATCGTATTCAGTTGACAGACCAACAGCGCGTGGGCGTAAAATACTTCCACGATATCAATGAGAAGATTCCTATGCATGAGTCCGTCTTGCATGAAAATTTCCTCCGCGAAAGTGTGCAGGCTCGGCTCACCTCCGATTATGAAATTCAGGTGTGCGGTAGCTATCGTCGCCGGCATCCGTTCAGCGGTGATGTGGACGCCATTCTTGCACGCACATTAAGTGCCCCACCACTTGACTACCCAGTGACGAACACCGGGGTCCTCGGTACGCTTGTGGATTACCTTCAGGAGCGAAACTACCTCGAGGCAACAATGGCACAGGGGCCACTCAAGTACATGGGCATGGGTCGTCTGCCTCCTCGCACAACAAATGGGACGACAAAACACTACAAGGCCCGTCGCGTGGATATTCGACTTATTGAGGCCCGATCGGTGCCTACTGCCCTTCTCACGTTTACCGGCAGCAAGAACTTTAATGTGATCATGCGTCAAGCCGCCATCAGTAAAGGATACCTTCTGAACGAATACGGCCTTTTTAAACTTGGCAGCCCGGAGGAGGTGAAGGCGCTGCAGGAGCGGGTGCGGGCGAACAAAATCGCGGGAACCAAAAACTCCCCCACGGACGCCGCCTCGGACCCTACTGTGGAGGAAGGCGTCGACCCTGTTGTGTCGGTTATTAGTGGTCACTCGGCGAAGATGGAGACGTTGGGGCTCACGAAGGAGGAATTGGAGGTGAAGCGCGTGCACGTCACATGTGAAAAGGATGTGTTCGACGTCCTAGGCATGCCGTTTGCGAAGCCGGAAAACCGCGACCCCTAAAAGAAGGAGACTGACGCTCTTTCTTTCTCCCGGCGCGTGTGTGAGAGACGTCTGGCCGACACCAGAAATGATCAACGGCGATAAAGCAAACAAACAAACGACTTCTTCCCCCCACCCAAAAAAAACAACAACAACAATAAAAAACAACTAAGAAACAAAAAGAGAAACAAACGAGAACAAGATGATAAAGAAAAAGAAAAAGAAAAAGAAAAAAAAAAGAAAAAAAAAAAGAACAGGAAGGGAATATAAGAGCGAAGGGGACTCCACATGACACTACAGAAGAACTTGGGAGGAAGAAAACAAAGGTGCCGGAGTGCCATTTAACATGAAAAAATGGGAAGGGAAACAAAAGACAGGAAGAAAGAGAGAGAGGGCGGAGGGGATCTCGAATGTTCCCGGGAACGCATGACTGCACATAGAGAGTGGGAGGGATGGATGAGGAGGTGGAGGGGAGAGGGGGAATGAGGGGGAGAAACGTGAATGAACAGACGGTGACGGCAATAGGAGTCAAGAAATAAAATTACATGAAGCGAGAGGAAGTTGCGGCTCTGAAGGAATTGCAGGAGCGGAAGGGCGTGTGTGTTGTGTGCGGGGATCATTATCCGTTTCCACATCCACTGATTCATTTGTGATTGGAGGGACGTTTTGCCTGCTGTTTGACCGCGAAACCGAAAGTTAATGACTTTCTTTTTTCCTTTCATTACACACAAAGTCCTTCTTTATATATTTTTATCTATTGTTTCTTTTTCCACATGACCTTTTTAACTCTTTCTTTATCTAGGTTTTTGCCACGGTGTAACAACGCCCGTCAAATATCTTTATTATTACTATTACTATTATCATTATTTTTCTCCCTCTCTCTCTCTCTCTCCCGTGCTTTTATTCCACTTGTATGAATGCATAGATTTAAATAAGAAGAAACAAGTGAGAGGTGGCGGTGGCGGTGGCGGCGGTGGGGTTGAAATGCCGGGAACGAGGAGTGAGTGTTTTTGCGTGATACATACATACATATATATATATATAGAGAGAGAGAGAGAGAGAGGGATTGTGTGTGAGTGAGTGGGGAATAAAAGGGAATGAGGAAATGAGGAAAATGGTTTACGACTTGTTTTTATTTATTTATTTTTTATTTCTTTACTAACGTCATTCTCTGTGCCATCTCTATCCCTCCCCTTCACACATTGCCTCATCCATCCGTCCACACAAATACAGACAATACCCCCGCAATGGTTGGGTATCCGCTCTACATGGACTTGCGGGGAAAATTGGTGTCATCCTTTTTGTTGTTGGTGGCTCTCTTTTTACAATATTTTCCCGCTTTTTTATTCCTTTATTATTTATTATTATTATTGTGTGTGTGTGCGTGTGTGTGTGTGTGGTGGCGGAAGGAAGGGGGGTGTCCATCTATATAAAGGGAATTCCAAAACACATACATGTACATGCGTATCCTCTCCCCAACTTTTGAAGGGATTTATGGAAAAGAGTGACGGAGAGATGATGTCATCAAAAAAGGCTTCTGTGGAGTACATGGATGCCCAACGGGGACGCGGCCTTGTGGCGAAGACGGAATTCGGGGAAGGTGACACTATTCTTCTTGTGCCGTATGATATTGCCGTGCTGTATAGTCCGTTTGTGCGCAACACATGTTATCGCTGTTTTGCGTCCGTGACGGAGCCTCAGAGAGTAGTAGGGGAGGAGGAGACACGACGAGGAGACGAAGAGAGTTGGGAAGAAATCCGGTATGAGTGTTCCTCCTGTAAGCATCTCGTGTTGTGCTTTGGTTGCGTGAAGGATTTAGTGGAGGAGGCGTGGCAGCGGTCAGATGGGACGGCGCTCGCCATGTCGTTGGAGGGAAATGAGCGTGAGGCCGCCATACTGCGAACGCATCCCCTTCTTGAGGCACATCAACTGGCTTGTGAGTGGTTTTGTACGCTTCCTGATTCTGTGCGCGCGGGTGACACAGACTACTTGCGCTTTGCGTTGCAGTACGGCTCACGCGCACTTTTAGGAGACACCCCACTTTTGCAAGCCGTTGAAGGGTTGTGCATGAATACTTCCCAGCAGCTCGTGAAGGCGTATCGGTTCTGTGAATCCTTTGCGAAACTCGTTGTGGATACGTTTGCTCCGCAGGGATACGACGTCGACGTGGCGCGTCTTCGCGATGTCCTCCTCCGTACCAAGATCAACAGCATTGGCTACCCTTTTAATGAGAGCGAGACGCTCGGTTGGGCACTGCAGGGGGAACTTTGCATGATTAACCACAGTTGCGTCCCAAACGCGGCGGTGGTACGCCCAAAACATCGAACAGCAGCGGGGGCGTGCTCGATGGAACTTGTGGCGCGTCGCCCTATCAAAACTGAGGAGGAAATAACGATTGCATACATTGACGTTGACAGTTACGCAGATGATGCAAATGCAAGGCGCCAGCGTCTCTTGGAAGACTACGGATTTCTCTGCCGCTGTAAAAAGTGCGCCTCCGCTACGAAAGCCACGAGTTCCATGGCTTTACATTAAGAAGAGCGTTACTAATTTACCGTTGGCAATAAGGTAAATAAATACATAAATATATTTATATTTATGAACCACACCTTCTCTCTTCATCTCTCCTTTTTGAAGGATATAATGCAATGCTTTGGTACTTCATTCTTTTCTTTTCTTAATAATAATAATAGTAATAAAATCTTCTCCGTCGTAAAAGGGTACGCATGAAGCATTTGTACATAATAAAGGGATATACCCGAGAAAAGGATGGGTTTATTTTGGGTGTAATTTAGGCATTCACGCCTTGACCGATGTTTTTTTTTTTTTTCGAAATACGGCGAATTCGATTCCGGAGAAGGATTTCACGACATCAAATGCCTCGAAAGAAAGAGGGAAAAAAAAAAAAAAAAGGAAAGCAGAAAGGGGCACCACCGAAGTTAACCCAACCCGTGGGGAAGAGACATGGCAGCCAAGAATGGGGTTGGCATGAATCGTTTGGTTTTTGAGTTCCCTCTTTTCTTCCGTAATGAATTTGATGGCAGCATATCTCCCGAGGAAACAGAGCGACAGCCACACGCTGCGGCCATCGTGCCGACAAGTCCGACGCGGCCGCGCCCACACCCACGGCAGCAGACACGCACAAAAAAGAAGAAGTCTTCCACTCCGTGCCACGTCCTCGTGCGTGATGGTGCGGCGCCGCAAAACAATACCGCCACACGCCGCGCAGCATTCCCACAGGGGATGAGAGCCAAGGCGCACTCTCACCGCCTCTCTCTTCCTTCTCCTCATGTCCACGGAGTGACGCAGCTGCCCGCACCGAGTGCAGGAGGAGCATACAACTGCACCGCAACATGTACGCCGTGCGGTTGTGTGTGCCTGCAGTCACGCAAAGAAAAAAAGAAAAAAAGAAGGGGAGATCCACGCACGTGAAGAAGCACAAAAAACACGCAGCGGAGGTGCAGGACAGAAAAGGAAGGAAGGAAGAAGGCACCCAAAGCGAAACATGACACGGCAGCCCAACCAGCGGCAACCCACAATACGCTTGCAGAAATAAAAATAAAAAATAATAAAATAAAAAAACAAATGAAAACAAATAAAATTAAAATAAAATAATAAAAAAAAAAAACTCGTTTTGAAGAATTTTTCACGCTCACACACCCCCCCAAAAAAAAAAAAAAAAAAAAAAGAAAGCATCGTGACGCGGAAAAACAAAAAATACGTTTATATTCTTCCTGCGGAGGCAAAAATACATTCGTTTCAGCCGTTCAATTCCCTGGTGCCCACACAACTTTTACATTTCATTAGGACACGCAGTGAGTTGCTGCACATCTAACCTCACTTTCTTCAGCGCACCGTCGTCGTGGCGCTCAATGCCGAGTGCACTTGTCATCAACATACGGAAACATTAAATAAATTCCGCCATTCTCAAAATATTCCTCCATATAAAAAAAGAAAAAACAAGCATATAGAATAAAACAAAAACACAGGCTCCGCAATGCAGTCCCCGGAGGGAAAGCATGCCATCTAAATAACGACTTACACGGCAGAAAGGGTAGTCCAATCGACCATAAAAACAGATAAAATAAAAGTTGCGTCCACACAAAAGTCAATTATTTCGGAGGGTGCGTGGAGAGGCACATATTGCTCCCTGCTGCAGGCAGGAAGTCCTCGTTGCGGCTTCTCAGTAAAGGGCCGCAATGCCGCACAGCCCCAGCAGCAGCAGCATGAGCACCCGAGACACGTCTCCACGCACGGAGCCGTCAATTTTCTTGACCATTTTTAGTTCATCGTCACTCAGTGGGCGGTTGTACAGAAAGAAGTTCGTCACCGTCACACTGCTGTCGCTGTCTCCCTCGTCGCCCCCAATGTAGAAATGTGTGATTTCAGCACCACGCGTCTCAGGTGTTGGTAACGTCTCCGAACTCCCCACACTCACACCATCCACGTACACGGAGCTCTTGTTGCCGTCTTGTAGCATGAGCGCCACCTGGTATTCTCTCCCCAGCTCCCAAGTGCTGCCCGATGCTGTTGTTGTGCCGTTGAACACTGTCTCCCACTTACCGTTCGCATCGTACGACAGCCCAATGAACCTCGTGCCGGCACCGTCTCCCAGACCCGCACCCAGCAGAGGAGTGCTCCCCTTCGGAACCTGGTGGATGACCACCGTCGCCACAGCAGTGAAATCGTGGTTCACAAAGCCGTAGTAAGTATTTTCCTCCCAGGTGTTCACAGGCCATGTTGCCTTGGATCCAGGCCCCGTGAATTTAAAACCATTGTGGACCTTCGTTGCTCTCGTCACGTTTGCATTCACGCAGCGGTAACCGTCGATCCACGTGTCACCACTGGCCTCATCGGACAGAAATCCAACCAGACCAGCCGTGGGTGTGGACGACTCGGAGAAGGAGGCGTCCAGCTTTTTCCAAGTACTGAGGGTGGACCTGATCGTCTTCAGCTCCTCCGTCAGACGGGCAAGGGATATGACTCTGCCGGCTCTTGTATACGTTAATCTTGTAATGTACAACGCACCATCCGAGTGCAGCAGGGTGTTGGAAACTGTCTCACTCAAAAGACTCTCCACATAAATCGGTCCAAGGTAAAACGAGCGGCTGTTGTCCGTGATCCAAAGGTAGAGCGCCTTCTCCTTTTTCTCCAAAGTGCGGTATCTTTTATGAGTGTACAGCATCACCTTCACTTCCTCAATGGTCGCGGTGATGAGGGATCCCACAGACAAATCAATAGCCCAACGAGTTCCTGATCGTGCATTGACCCACACGCCTGGGAGTGTCCCGACAGCCTCCGTCCACGTTGTCCCCATGTCACGCGACTCGTACACCTTGCGACCAATCGTACATCCAGTAACCATGAGAATTTGTCCATTCTCCCATTCGGTGATGCTGATTCCAACACATTCCGCAGGGGGCGTACCCGCCGGAAACACCCAGTTTGCGCCGTCGTCCGTCGAATAAATGATCCTGTTGGAATGCCCATGCTGTTCATTAGTCCCCGACAAAGAAAACACGAGAGTGCCATTCTCCAACAGAACACCAGCGCCACCAAAGGGAGTAAGCTTCTTCAATTCAGTTTGATTCTCTGGGGTGGGCTGTTGTAACAGCGATGTGGGATCGCCCCAGATGAATGTTCCACTCTCCCTTCTGCCCGTGGACGGCCTGGCATCACCCACAATCAGTTTGATATCCTTGCCATCCGTCGTCCACTTCTTAGTGGTGCTGTCATACTTCTCTTCATAGCTTCCCAAAAGGAGATACACCTTATTGCCCTTCCCAATGGTTGTCGGAAGACGCGCAACACCCACAAGTTCCGTTTCATTCGCTGTATCAAACACAGTGTGTGCTCTCCATGTATCCTCACTGACCTTAGCGACAAGGAACGACCAATCCCACGCAGGGTTGAAATAACCCGCAAGAACATCTGATTGAGAAAGGAATATTACAGGATCACGTAAAAGATTGCCGGTAGTAACCACAGCCATCACTCCGCCAGCAATGACAGGAGAGGCTGCGCCAAACGAATCCTTCACTCCGGCTTCAGTCCCATCCTTTGCCAGCACCTGCGTCTTACCCGAGACAAAAATATCAACCCATTGCGGCATCTGCGCATCCCTCAAATTACTTTCCACAGCGTGTGCAGATCGAGTGCTGCAGCACATCATCACGACGAGGAGGAGCAGCACCGCGGAGTAGAAGAGATGCCGGGACATGTTGGACCTCTGCGGCTCACTCTCTCCTCCTTCCCTCATCCTTCCGCTGGATCCGATCACGCGGCGACGGTTGTGTGTGCGGGGTGCCATGACTGCAGCAACACGTGAGAGCATATAAATATGTGTATGTGGGCGGTGTGTGCTGTTGTTGGTCCTTTCAGTGTCTTCGAATTTCACAGTAGCGATTAGCGCTTGTTTGTAACTTCTTTCCTAGCTTGTCTGTGTGCGTGGAAGAAATGGGAAGAGTCAAAAAGACAAAGTTGACAAGTTGTGGAAGAAAAAATTGAGCACCAGCTGCCACTGCCGTAGACCACGCTCCCGCTGCCATCACTCTCACAGAGAGACGGGGAAGAGTGTGTGGATGTGTGCCGAGAACACAGAGACCGTCATCGTCAGAGGAGGCCATCGTGGCACCGTCCGTCACCGAGCAACGCAAATAAAGAGTAGAAGAATAACCCCAAGAGCAGGCAAGACATTCCCGCATGGCGGGCATCGTGCGACTGCGTCAGCCAGCCCCCAGCAGAAAATGGAAAACATTTCCTGCGTTGCTCACCCCGTATTTGCAAAGGCACCGCCGCACTGCGGGACCCACGCACCATAACCACAATGCGAAGAGGGAGCGTGGAACAATCGCGATGAGGGCAATGTGAGGAGGCACGTACACAGAGGGAGACACACGCACCTCAGCACGTGTGTGTGTGTGCCCGTGCTTGTTTGGGAGGGTACCACCTCAACAGCAGCTACGGGCTCAAGCGGTCGTCGAAGTAGATCCCCGCCATGCAATCGTTGGCACCGTGCCTCAAATCAGCAGTGTGCAAAGACAGCCCCTCCAACGGTTACACCAGAAGCACGGCGCATCACACGACCCACCCTTCGCCCCATCGTGGGGCAGTGGGAAGCAGCCGGGCACGTTTCCCCAGTGCAGACTCCGTGGGCGAATAGAGCACCGCACTGCCCAATGCAGAACGCAAGCGTCAGAGAAAGAATTGGAAAGAAAAAGGGTGTGAAGACAAACGCACACGCACAGAAACACCCGGAATTCCAACAACAAAGAAGCAGAAAAATGATGCCAATATAAAAACAAAACCAAAGACGCACGGCTAAAGTTTCCTGAAGGTAAGAAAAACCGGCTTATCTCTCGTTTGCCTCATGCTAAGACACTCCGTATATGCATTGTAATAGTTTTGAGGGGGTGACGCTTCTCTCAGTCGAAGCCGTTTTTTCACTTACAACATCTCCCGCTTTTCATATGAATTTTACCCCGCTGATATTTTAATCTACAATTCTCCGTCTCGGCTGTGCAAAGAATTCTTGACGTAGCCTTCAATTTCTATTTGGAAGTGTAAATGTGGAAAAACTCAAAGCTTGCCTTTACTTTTTTTTTGGAAACACTGTATGCGTGTCTCCCAAATGCCGCCCCCCTTCCCCGCGGAGTCACCACCTTTGCTGGGCGTGTAATGTGGCCTCACGGAGGGTGGCAAAGCAACGACAAACGCAGATGAGAGATGTAACAGACGTGTACGCAACTTCAACAGACCATGGGACGTGTGCCAGGCCATACTACCAACAAACAATCCTTCGGCAGCGAGCGCAGACGAGATGACAACAGCAGAAAACAAACACCCTGCTATCCAAATTCACACACCCACACTCTCTTTCTCCTGCTTCCTTTGTCACGTGCCTGGACGTGTAAGTTATAAAGGAATTTCGCCGATGCAAACACAGAGTCATCCTCGCAATTTTATCACGTCTATTTTTCTCTACGTTTTTTTTTTCTTCTTTCCTTTCCCCCCCCCCCCCCCTCAATTACTTCTCTTTTAATCAAAAAAGAAGAAGAAGGAGGAAGCATGCACAATAGATCTCTTTAACTCACCTTCAATTCTTCGCTCAATCGGTGTTACAAAATAACGCTACGCAAAGGCATAATAACAATAACAATACCAATGATGATAAGACAAATGTGGGACGGATTCGAGTCGATCAAGAAAAAGAAAAAGAGAAAAAACAAAAAAATAAAAAAAGGGAAGAATGACGTTCACCTGGTAGATATTTAAGATAAATTAGACGATATGCACAGACATATATATGCATGCCCATACGGTTTTGTGTAAATGAAGGGGTGGCATCTGTATGTTCCTATCTTTTCTTGATGTTTTATTCACACATGTCCATGCGTGTAGATACAATATATATATATATATATATACGTATTGATTTATACTATTTATGTAGATGCTGGTGTGGAGGAGAGAGAGGGGGAAAAAAAAAATAGCAGAATGACATAAGTTCCTCTTCTTCCCTTTCTTTATTATTATTTTTCTTTCATTTCTTTGTTATTAACTAAGTTTGAAAATACCTCAGGCATGATGGGTGCCAACTGATGGCCGTACACAGGAAAAATCAATAAATTCTAATTAATAAATTATTGACTTCTTCCCATAAAGCGGAGTGGAAGACAATAATAATAATAATAACAATAACGATAAAAGACAACAGCAAATATAAACGGGTTTCCTACCTGCGTCTACCGTATGGGTTCCATGTAAATGAACCATTACAAAAGTAATTTGCGGCATCACCGTGCCTCTTAAAATGTGTTGAGAGGGTACATGCAAAGTGGCGTCCTGCCGGATCCTGCGCTGGCATCGCAGAGTCCTTCTCATTCCTCTTTCCCTCATGAAGGCGCTTGGCTCCTTCTTCCTCCTGTAGAAACTTCTCGCGGGTTTTTCGCAGCATCCTCCTGCGGCGCTCTTTAGCAAACTTGGGAATGACACCAAAAAAGTAAGGCAGACCATCATGCACTTCGCTCCAGATGTGAAAACGTCCCACCTGAACAATAAGACCCTCAGTATCCCGGAGCCATCCTGTGTCATCGTGACGAAATGTAGCTGCCACAAGGAGTCTCTTCACCCAACAAAGCAACAGTGTCTCCAAAGTCACGTCCGACTGCAGCAGACGGGTCCATTGACGGCGCACATTGTCATACACGAGAAGATCGCCGTCATTAAAAACATTGGACGATGTGTCTTCTTTCTCAATGACGTCATATCTTTTCCCAAAATCTGAAAGAGGCGTTGACGTTTGCCAGGGATTCACGACAGTGAATACCAACAACCTCGAAATTCCCACCGTGTTTTCTCCCTCTCCCCGTGCATGCTTCTGAACCGCATCGTAAACATGTTTTGAAGCACACAATGTGCCATTTGTCCGAGAAACACCGATGCGTCCGCCGTACTCGTACAGGGCGGATCGCGGTACATTCTGCCTCCACACATGCTGACAGGAAGACTGCGGAGCAAAGCTGTCGGTACATGGACACAATAACTGGCAAATTGCCCGAAGAGCCGCTTCCTGAAGTCGGAAAAGCAAACAATTTCCTCGGATGCTTAACGCCATACCTGTTGGATACGCCGCCATCGACACGAGTTGTCTTATTTCCGCAATGAAGTGAAGTAGTGGGACGCGAGACGCAAGCCCCAAGTGCCACACGGGCCGTGCGACAAGATCATCCATCCCCGCCATTCTCGAGTGCAGCGCGTAATACCCAAGTCCTTCAATTAATGCACGACCAAATGCCTTTTCAGATATGGCAGCCTCAAAAAATTGACAGGCGCAAAGTACGGGCGGACGCTGGGATGGAGGAAGGCTCTCAATGTATGCATCTTCTTCTTCTTCCACCGGTGTTGTTGCATATCCACGCAACCATGGCGTGCCGCGGCACATGGCAGGAAGAAGTGAGTTGCACCCCACCACACGAACAGGTGTGGGCGGCACAATGTATCTTTCATTCTTCCGAGACGCAAGAAACAGCATGCCATCATTTTCCATTAAATGTAAAGCGCCATCAGGAGGAATGACAGACTTCGGCGGCGCCCTCCTCATTGCATCTTCACTGTCCACGACAGCCACCACCGCCGTTGGAAGTGCTCTTAAAAAACGACGCGGTGGTGACACCATCTCTGCCAGACGAACGGCAGTCTCCTCATTCGTTTCGCTCCTTGCCTCTGCGCCATTGCGTAAACGTTGATGGTACCGACAAATCATTCTCCTGGCATGACGCCATGCAATCTCCTTTTCGTACAATTCTTTCATCTCCGCGTTTGTTTCCACAATTGCGGGAACGGTCCCTTGTGTCACCAACAGGCGGTACAATTCCTCCGTCGCCATGTGGTTTGCACCACTGCTGCATGACTCTTTGGTCATGGAGGCGTTTTTGATATCATTCTTCTTGGCGTGCAAGACGAAGGTGTTTGCCATTTCGTCCGTGGGTGGCACCAATTCCATCATGTCTTGTTGGCATGGCACGGAGGGATCCAACTCCAGTTCCTCTTCACAGATATCATCCCAGTCGTCATTCTCCCTTGCGTAACACCCACACCGCCTCCTCCTCTCTCCCACACACCCGTGCCGCTTATGTGATGGACCGTCACAAAGCGTAAAGCCGTACTTCATGGACTGCGACCTGCAACAATTGTCCAACTGCTGGAATGCCAAACAATTCTCGGATGGAAAAAAATGTGGCGTAAGCGGCAGGCGGGCAAGTTTCAACGTCGTGCCACAGCGGGTAAAAAAAAGCGCATCAGGACTCTCGTGAAACTCACGGCTCGGAACGGACCCCATCTTGCGTGTCAATATATAAATATATATGTTCTCCTGATTTTATCTTTGTTATTTAAGCGGCAGTTAAAATTACTGGGGATGTACGCGGCTGATTTCCCCACAACACACAACACAGAAAATAAACAACACACCACACACACAACTCTTCTCCCCCTCCCCCCCCCCTTTTTTTTTTCTTTTTTTCTTTTTCTTTTCTTTTTTTCTTTTTCTTATTCCTCTCAACACATGCAAAAGACCAAAAAAAAAAGAAAAAAAAAATTACCACACAACTCTTTACGTGCCACACACGCACACTTACGCAGGAGTCAAAGAAGCAGCCACAAATGTCACCACTCAAATCTTCCCGTTAAAATTACCACGGCGATCCCTTTTTGCACAGAAAAGACAGATGCGCCCTTCCTTTCCCCTTCCTTCTTGTTCTCTCTCTTTCTCTTTCCCCTAAAACTTGCCACTGCCCTTTCTTCCTAAAACTATCAATTCCTACAATTCCTATA